CTTTTTAAGTAGATTACCACCTCTGCCAATTTTAGATCTTTTTACTATTCTAAAATTATTTTTGCGGAAAATAATCTTTCCTGTAAAATACCAATCGGAGGTATCAGATTTATCATGCATCTTTGAATGATTAATCTTGAAAGTTTGAGCATTGAATTCAGAAAATCTTATGTCTTGTTTATATTTCCCCTTTTCATATATTTGACCATTTATTTCAATTTGACCTTTAATTTAAAATCATTAAATAGAATAGCTATTCTCTTAATTAATTCTGAAAAAATCATATTTGTGGTTGATATTTTGATATATCGGTTGTCCTAGATATTTAAATTTTTCTTCATCTTCTTCGTCAAATTTACGCGAAAATAAATTAGGTATTGACTTGAATATCTTTGAAAAAAGTGTTTTAGATAGGGGTTTGTTTAAATTTCCAATTTTATCCATTCTTTTTTTAAGTATCTATTTTAAACTTTTATTGATGATATTTCTACAACAAATTTATCTAAAATTTCATTGAATTTTTCTAATTCTTCAACTGTTATGTTCTTGTCTTCTCTCGATCTTTCGAAAAAAATGAATAATTTATTAAGTTATGTATTTAAAATTTTTGTTTTCTTTTTATAATAAGCTTTCTGTTTTGATGTAAAACCTAAAGTAATCAAACCACAAGATGAAGTTTGAACGTCAGTGAACGCGGCTTATACAGTTTGGACAATTATTGGAAGCATTAATCCACCGGTTACGGCTGTTGCCATCGTTATCCCTACTGTTAAAACTGTACTTAATGTTTTGAAAACAGTATCGATTCTACTCCATGTTTTTCTACATTTGTTGAATTGTTTTAGTTTTTGTTTTAGTTCGTTTTGTTTTTCTATCATATATTGTTGTCTACTTTCGAGTTCCATTTTTTAGGTAATTAAATTAAATGAATTTCTGATAAAGCTACTTTACTAAAAAATTGCATACTTACTAAGAATATTTGTTCTTTCAAATCATTAATCTTATTCAGATGAACTGAAAATTTTGGTTTACTAATAGTTTAATTTTTGAAAACTGTTGACGAAATCTTGAAATTCCTTTGTTAAGTCTTTATTCATGAAGTGATTTACACATTTTATAAAACAATAACCATCGCTTGGTATGTAACAATTTTCGCCTTTGTATTCATTTATCTTTTTAAGTAGATTACCACCTCTGCCAGTTTTAGATCTTTTTACTATTCTAAAATTATTTTTGCGGAAAATAATCTCTCCTGTAAAATACCAATCGGAGATATCAGATTTATCATGCATCTTTGAATGATTAATCTTGAAAGTTTGAGCATTGAATCCAGAAAATCTCATGTCTTGTTTATATTTCCCCTTTTCATATATTTGACCATTTATTTCAATTTGACCTTTAATTTTAAAATCATTAAATAGAATAGCTATTCTCTTGATTAATTCTGAAAAAATCATATTATTTCTGATAAAGCTACTTTACTAAAAAATTGCATACTTACTAAGAATATTTGTTCTTTCAAATCATTAATCTTATTCAGATGAACTGAAAATTTTGGTTTACTAATAGTTAAAAACATAGTAACAGATACATCGTCTCTTTTTGTTGGTATCAAAAAATTTTGTTGTTGTTGACTTTTATGAATATCGATTGAGGTAAATATATCATTATCAACAAAATATAGTTTTACGTATTCAAAGTCTGTTGCTCGTAAAAACTGATAATTGATTATTTCTTTTTGAGGTTTTGGATTTCTAATAATACTTGCTGGTGGACTTTCCGTCTCCAATAACATATCAAAATCACTCAATGAAAGTTTAACTTCTTCATTATCGGGTATGATTAACATTCTAAACCTATCTATATATTTTCCACTCGTTTTAATTTCATATAAGTGACGAGGCTTGCTGTTTTCGTCGTTAATTTCAAATTCTTTAGTTTCTACATTTTTTGTACCATTGATAAACTGGAGAACTTTACGAGCGTTAAATTTATTAGAAAAACGAGAGTTTTGTCTGAAGAATATTGAATCAACTTTTACCTGAAAAGGAAAATTAATTTCAATTATAAGTTTTCCTCGGAAAATAAAAAATATTGGATGATAATCATTCTCATCATCTGAATCAAAAATATTATTGGGGTAAATAGTATAATTTGGAAAAGAATATACTCTAATATTTGCTGTAAATCCATATTTTTTATATTCATAGTCTTTTGATTCATCAGTATTATCAGTAATAGAAGGATCATCATGAATTCCCATTACTCCAAATGTAAGTTTAAAATAATATGATTCTTTCTTGAGATACTTTTTTTCTAATGCGACTATATTTTTGTCATGTTTCAAAACTAGGTTATTAATAGTGGTTATCTGTTGTTGAATAACGCTATCATCAATATTTTGTATTTGTTGTTGAATATAGGTTTTGATTTCGCTATCATCTATATTTTGTATTTGTTGTTGAATATAGGTTTTGATTTCGCTATCATCTATGTTTTGTATTTGTTGTTTAATATTTCTTAGTTCTTTTTGTAATTCACTGTTAAGTTTAGTTTCAGAGTATTTAATTCCTGTTGAAACGTATCTTCATTTTCATCTGGAATGTTATCTATTAATTGTGGAATGTCTAATTTTTGTTTTGCAATCTTATCCTCTAATTTAGATATTAATGAAATTTACCTTTCTTATATTTCAGATCATTTATTTCATCTCTCATACAATAATAAAACGGTGATATATTTAACTCATTCGCCCATCTCATAAGTTGAAAGTTTGTGGTTGTATCGGTTCCATATTTATCGAGAAATTCATTCATTTTTAAAAGTCGGTTTTTTGAAGTTCGTTTTGATAAAACCTACATATGATTTGTTCTTTGTCTTGATCGATTAATTCATATGTCGGAGGTGATGTGCTGTTTACTTTATCAACGATGAATATTTCGTTTGTCCAGTATCCAACGTAACCTTTCTCGAATTTGCTTTTATATTTGAAAATACGAACTCGATCTCCGACTTTAAATTTGGGTTTAATATTTAAATTCTTTATTTCATTTTCATAGTTATGTTGCGCGTTAATATTTGGATTACTCGAGGCTTGTGTTGGTGTGACACCTATAGATGAATGAATTTTGTTATTGTATTCATCTACAACCTCTGGTAATATTTTAAGCCATTTTTGAGATTTCAATTCCGTGAACTTTTTGAATAATTTATTTTTCCTGTTAAATATTTCTATTACTACAACTTTACCTTCGTTATGCGTGCTGTAAATTTCAAATCCCAGAGATTTCATATTTTTGTTATAAAATTCACTTCCTTTATCTACCCACAGTTTTTCTGGATGTTGCTTAGATTGTTTCATAATCGTTTCAAATGCGTGTTTGACTGATAATCCCGTTTTGTTTTTCAAAGGAATAACCCATACATATCTCGTATACAAATCTATAACTGATAAGCAATATTTAAATCCTCTTTCAACTGGCATATGAATTAAATCGGCTGACCATATTTCATCTTTTTCAAACACTTTAACTTTTAAAAAGTTTTTAGTTTTTTCAAATTCTTTGTGAATTTCATCCGCTTATCCCATGCCCAATTTCATCTTTGCTTTCAAGAGCTTTATGATTAATGCTCGTTGCATTCTCTCTTTGAAAGTTGGATTTGGAATTTTTCGATTATCATTTGTCTGTCTGCTTCGTGTCTGAAGTTTATGTCTTTATTTCTGTATAAAATATCGTGTTTAAGCGCAGCGGCGTCAACTCTATTGACTGGTTCTTCCCCTGGTTTGGGTTTATCGTTTTCGTCTAATCGCAGATCTAACCTAGTACCTGGACCGGTGTAATTTTTGTTTTTCTCCGGGATATTTCGCCCATGGAAATCCAGGAAGAGAACCGAATGATTTTTGTATATCTCCTGAACCGAAATAAGTTTTTGGAGCGTGAGCAACAATCATTTTTATCCCGTAACTTTAAAACCTTTTCCTTTCCTTTCTTTTAATCTCCTGTTTCGAAGTTTTCTTATTAGCTCTAATTCTTTCAAGTCGTTAGATTGTGTCGCTTATACTCTTTCCCGCTTCCGCGATTGAGCCGATGGCTTTCGCTCCCGTTGAAATGAGTGATTTGTTTTTTGAAACAAAGCTAGCTACTTTTGGAATTATTGAAAATAATGAAGAAAAGATACCGTCGCCCGAATAATCTTCGAATCTGTGTTGTTCGTGCTTAAGAATTAAACTCTTAAACTCCTATTTTTAAATGAGTTAATTTAACGAAGAAATTGGTTTCCAAAAAAGAGTTATCTCCCTTTTATCTCCCTTCTAGACTAAAAATAACATTATTTAAAACGAGGCTATTAAAAAAAACGGATGTTAAGCGAAACAAGGATGTTATTTTTATATAAGGGTATTTTTAATATGCTTTTTGATGGAATGTAGGAAATTGATTGATGGTGTTTTTTGGTGTATGAAATATAGCGAATTTAGGTCTTTTTTTGGTGTAAGAATTTATGAAATGTAGGGTGTTTAGGTTTTTAGTATATGAAATGGTAAGTCGACATATGGTAAAGGGGGGTGTAGTATACATACACTGGATGGTCAATTTGGTAAAAAAAATTTTGGTAAACCGGTAAATGGTAAAACGGCATAAGGTAATGTACACATACTACTGTTATCACCTCAAATAAATCAGACATTAAATTGTCTCTAGATTATGAGTACGAACTCGATCGCAATCAAGAATATGAATAGGGATTAAAGTGTTTCTCTGTTTACAGAATTATCAACGAAAAAAATAACCAAATAAAAATATCAACAGATAATGGAGTTACATTCAAAACCATACGTTTACTACCAGGAAATTGTTATTCAACTTCATTTAAAACAAAAAAAATCAAATTTATTGAGTAATTAAACACTCTTCATTCTCTTGAATAGTTAGATAATCGAAATCATCAATTTCATAGTTTTCATCCAAATTCAATTTATCTTTATCACCATAAGGATACACGATTCCTTCATCGTCCGATGCTTTTCTCTTAACGAGATTCAGATAACTTCTGAAAAATTTCATTTGTTTATCATCATCCTTTGGAATAACTACTCCATTGGTGAAACTTTTTTCCCATGGTTTCTTAAATTCATTCGTCACATCATGTCCACAAAGTAACTGAATGTAATCTTCGACACATATCTTATGATTAGAGTAACCCTTAAATGTTTTCTTTTCTTTTAGAATACCGTTGGCGCTAAATATGAACCATATATAATTCCACCATCACCGTAATCATTCTTTCCCTTACAATAATCATTTTCGGACACCAACCTAGCTTCATTTAATTTATCCCAATTGCTAGACGAAACTATTTCTTGAATATCGACCGATGTTAAAACCTCGTGACAGAAAGCATTTCTAAACCTGATTTTAATACCAGTTTCCTTATTACATTCTTTGTTCGTAAAAGTAATTTTATCTTTAGATGGTATGGGTTGGAAGAGCATGTTAGTAGGATATTCAAACCAGACTTTTAAAATAGCCGTTCTAGGTCTGAATTTCTGCTCATTAAAGAGCTCAACAAATTCTTTATTTTCTTCTGGTAGAAACGGTCTACCACTTTCCGCTTTTGGATATTCGCTGTCTAAATCCGACATGACTAAAGGGTACAAACCGTTAGCATCAAAGGCCATTAGTTTAGTACATTTTATTTTTTTAAGTTTTGAATTAACTTCCGTTTTATCTTTTTTACTTTTACTATATTCTTTAAATAAATCAATTATATTATCACTTCGTGTTTCACTAAACTCCTTTAATATATTACAAATTTCATCCATTTTATTCGTTAATATATTACAAATTTCATCCATTTTATTCGTTTTAAATGATTTTCGATTTGCCGAAACTCTTCTTACTTTAATGGATTGTCTGATAAAACATCTTATAAAAGGGTGTGTATGTGAGTAAACTTTTTCTACGTTTTCTTTTTCGGTGTGTTTTGGAACCATTCTAGTAGTTTCATACCATTCTTCTTCAACCATTTCTTTATGGTAATGATATAAATAATACCAACCCTTTAAAGATAAAGATGGAGCCGTTAGATTATTGGAAATATTCTGGAATACAACTTCTTTCATAACTTTGTTATATTTTATCAAACAAGCTCCAAGACATAACGTATCTCTTTTAGCGTAAGGTTCCCATTCGTGTCTTAAAGATTCACAATTATCTTCGGTGTATTTTGCAATATTGATATCAGTGATCTTTCTCAAATTCATCGGTAGGTTAGATGAATTTCCCCATGCCTCCAAACTAGATTTTTCATGTTGATAGGAACATATGAAATTAATATTTTGCAGATAATTAGATTTCAGGGAAGGGAGGGCTTGATTCTCCCAAATGTACAGGCCTAGGGTGGAGCAGACACTTTATTTAGAAATTAGGCTTAAGGGTCTTGATATTAAGTTTTCTTCTGTTCGTATTCTGATCTGAAATTAGAAAAAATAACTCGCACGATGGGTGAGAAGTATAGTATCTGTTATGTACTGATTGTTTTTAGTTTACTATGAACAATTTTATCATTTAAGTTCTTGTTTTTTGAATATGCAACTATCATTTTCTGCTTATAGAAATGGGTGAATTTCTCTTGAAGGCTCTTATAGTGGGCATGAACTATCTTGCTTGCTCGATCGTTGGTTGTATTGAACGGGACAACAAAGGGTGCTATGCCTACATTATGATGAATATTCAGTCCTGTAGATCTTGCTGTATTCAATGTCTCAATCCAATGGGCTTCCCTAGATTGACGGAATTTGGTAGTTTCATCTTCGGGCAAGTCAATTTCTATACGCTCAATTGGGATTAGGGATCGTCTATTGAATGGTCGTCGAGGTTGAAATGATTAGAAACAGGCTTGTCTTTCTTTAACTTAATGTCCGACCTATGAGCATTAAAACGAGTTCGTAAATTATTCTTAGTTTCTCCTACATATTTTTGGGGGCATTTCTTGCATGAAATTAAATATATTACATTCGAATGTCCATATGTTAGATGTTCCTGGATCGGGTACCTTTTATTCCTAGAGTTGCTTACAAAATAATTTAGAATAATCGTTTAGAGTACCCACGCTCTTTCAGTTTTGAGAAAACAATCGTACAGGCTAGGTTGATATCAGAAGATCTTGTACAAATTCGATGAAATCGTAAAACTTGTGACTTAATTATACCAGGAAAGGTATGCTTTGGGTGAAAGGAGCTCTTGTGCAAGAGTTGTTGAGTATCAGTTTCTTTGAAATACTTTAATATCCAGTTTATTTGTTTCTGCTATGGGATCTCCCTTAAAGACAGTAGTATCGAGAAAGTCTATGCTTTTGTCACTCACGTTTGCGGTTAGTTTGATAGAAGGATGGTGGTTGTTAAGAATTTCAAAGAATTCCCAAAACTGTTCGATAGAATAAGTCCAAACCATAAAAATGTCATCCAAAAAGCGTCCGTAAAAAAGTGGGTCAAATGGACAGAGGGGCAACACCTTACGTTCCCACTCTGCCATGAAAAGGTTTGCGTACGAAGGGGCGAATCGTTTGCCCATTGCTGTCCCTGAAGTTTGTAAATGTGTTTTACCATTAAATGTGAAATCGTTTCGACTAAGACAAATCTCTAAAAGCTGTAGAATTGCATCGGTGGGTCTATTTGGATCTGGGTTTCTATTAAAAGCTTTCCGAACTGCCGTTAAGCCAGTAGTGTTATCGATATTGGTATACATAGAAGAAATGTCGATAGAAATTAAAATAGCATTAGAGGGAACTCGAAGATTTTTTATTTTATTGACAAAATCGGTTGTGTCTTTAATTTCGGGGAAGGGAGGGTTTGATTCTCCCAAATGTACAGGCCTAGGGTGGAGCAGACACTTTATTTAGAAATTAGGATTAAGGGTCTTGATATTGGGTTTTCTTCTGTTCTTATTCTGATCTGAAATTAGAAAAAATAACTCGACCGATGGGCGAGAAGTATAGTATCTGTTATGTACTGATTGTTTTTAGTTTACTATGAACAATATTATCATTTAAGTTCTTATTTTTTGAATATGCAACTATCATTTTCTGCTTATAGACATGGGGGAATTTCTCTTGAAGGCTCTTATAGTGGGCATGAACTATCTTGCTTGCTCGATTGCTGGTTGTATTAAACGGGACAACAAAGGGTGCTATGCCTACATTATGATGAATATTTAGTCCTATAGGTCTTGCTGTATTCAATGTCTCAATCCAATGGGCCTCCCTAGATTGGCGGAATTTGGTAGTTTCATCTTCGGGCAAGTCAATTTCTATACGCTCAATTGGGATTAGGGTGAGATCGTCTATTGAATGGTCGTCGAGGTTGAAATGATTAGAAACAGGCTTGTCTTTCTTTAATTTGATGTCTGACCTATGAGCATTAAAGCGAGTTCGTAAATTATTCTTAGTTTCTCCTACATATTGTTTGGGGCATTTCTTGCATGAAATTAAATATATTACATTCGAATGTTCACATGTTAGATGTTCCTGGATCGGGTACCTTTTATTCGTAGAGTTGCTTACAAAATAATGAGTTTCTGATATAAAGGGACATGTTTTGCATCTACTGGACAAACATGGAGCACTTCTTAAACCTGGAGGTAGTTTTTAGTTTTGACTAAATCGGCAAGAATATTATTAATCATGTTAGCAGTTTCTTTGAAAATTGGTTTCGGTAAAATGGCATAATGTTTAGGATTATTCAGTTGATTCTCTGCTTCTGAAACGTAATCCTCCCTATTCAGAATGACACAACATGAACCTTTGTCACTCTTTTTAATAACAATGCTATCGTCTTTCTTAAGTAAGTTTAACGCTTCACGTTCCACTCGTGTGAGATTAGGCTTTTCGTGTGTTATGGAAAGGTTCACTGTTTGGCTATTCATACTAGCAAATGCTTTCAATATTTCAGGATGGATGGCGGCCTGAGGGGGTGTCCACGTGGATTTAGGAATAAACATTGTTCTAGCACCACGTGGGGGGTGGTTTCGAAAAAAATATGTGCAGCTAAGATTTCGTTGAAGTCGTTCAATGGATGGTCGGAGATAATTCAAGTTAGCTATCTTTGGTGTGGGAATAAACTTAAGTCCACGGTCTAAGATTGAATGCTGAAGGGGTGTGAGAATTTTGCGGCTCAAGTTAACTACAGTTTGGCTTAGCGGTGGCCTTTCAGTATTTTTATCCCCAGTAATTAGTTTAAAGACTTACTCGATGGTTGAAGCTGGTGTATCCAAAACAAATAAATGCTGTTTGCTGTACTGGAGACCAATGAAGATTATCAACTGGTTCGAATTCTTCTTCGTAGGGCGGTAAGATTGTTGCGCTGTTGATACTGGACTCCATCATCATGTTGTTGAGGGTGCTGAGGTTCTGTTGTGCTTTCTTCGAGATTTTATTTGAAATGGGTATACATGTGAAGAGGATCTTGGAGTTTGGGAAGGTTTTGTTGGCTGTGGCGATTAATTTCTGGGCTTGGTTAAAGGAGGTCTTTGGTATCTGATCACGGTTGTTGAGGCCTACATGAAGAATAATGGTAGTAGGTTGGGGATCATGGTCGTATGATTCCAGGATTGACTGTATGTGATGGATTTGGGCACCGGGGTAAGAATGTATTTCGGTGTCTGAACTGGTTTTGGTAATTCGATTCAGGTTAGATGATCCAATTATTAAGGTTGATTTCTTTAGAGCAGGTAGTTTCCATAATGATTTGTCCTTGGTTTGGTGATAATACGGTTTGGTAGTGGATATAATGGTCGTCGACGGTGTGATTGGTACTGGTTTGGTAGTTGTTAGAATTGTAGCATTGGGAACGGACTGGGATCTGGTTCGAGGGGGGAAAGGTCTGGATACATGTCTCGACTTGGATGGAGACTGAGGGGTGGTTTGCTGGTCCAAAAACGCACAGAAGGAAGAAAGGTTGGCGGA